GGTGTTTTGATCTGCGACAATGAAAGTGTCGTCAATGTAGCGGCAATATAAATCAAGCTTCTTAACAGTCTCATTAAGAGGTCCATTTTCTAACTTTGCTAGAAAGAGATCAGCTAAAATCGGGCCTAGAGGTGAGCCCATGGCTATTCCGTCTATTTGTCTATAATAACTATTGTTGAAGACAAAATGGACATTCAGAGTGCATCTTAGGAGCAGTTCCTTTAGACTATCTTCAGGCAAGCCAATGTTGATTTGTTTTTCTGATATTTGCTTGCATATAAACTCGATAGTCTCCATAAGTGGTACGTTGGTGAACAAAGATACTACATCAAGAGAGATCATATTTTTCATGTTGACATTTATATTTTCCAATTTAGTGGTGAATTCGAAGACATCTTTTACACTATTTCTAACAACTGATTTGTGCAAAGGCTCTAAGATTCGCACCAGCCACTTTGCAATTTTGTGGTATGGAGAGTTGTACATATCTATACACTATCTGTACACTATCTATATTTTTCTAATCATTGACTTATTTCCGATTATGTAACGTTGATTTGAGCCTTTATTATTCTTATAAAAACTAGTACACCTGTCATCACACTATATATTTATACTTTTCACATATTATATAATCGTTTTATTCATCGTTATCATTGATTTATAAACTACCTGGATTGGTTTAATAATTTCGTATATGCATATAAATATTACTGTATATTAGAGTAAAGCCTGATGAGGATCTAATCGAAAACAATATTGTTCGCTTATATATGATGTTCTAAATTTACAAATATAGGAACAACAATCAAACTAATAGGAGACAAAATCAAAACCAAAAAGTAAACAATGACAAATTTAAGATCAATAAGAACCAATCAACATCGAGGTGTACAGAACAAGCTGTGAAACGCATATGGTGAATTTCTAACACTTCACTTCAAATAACATTCAGCGAGCGGCTTTTTTTTTAATATTTTTTTATTAAATTTTTTTTTCACCCCTTTAAAAAAGTTTTTTTCATCCCATTTTCCAAAATTTTTCACCACGTTTCGTCCAATTAAATTGCTAGTTTTAAGTTCGTTATAATTGGTTAGTTATGTCTTGAAATTGTTATAAAATGTCAGCACTCGTCGAATAAGTACATTTTCATCATCACAATGGAGGAGAGTAACGTGCCCTGTACAAGCGCGGTTGTTTCTCACGTTGTCACAGAAACGGAGGATGTATTTTTGACTACATTGTTTCTCGTTGCGTTCCAATCAGTTGAAGCGTTAAAGTCGGCTATCAGAACTTATGAAAGATCTACGTACTGTCATTATGTGGTGAAAGAATCTCATTTGAACAGAGATCAAAAATCGTGTTTTAAATTTGTATGTTGGAGAACTGGCCGTAGAAGATCTAGCGGTTCGTCACAGCCGATTAGACGGAGGAGGTAAATTGATTAGTGTTATTACATTTTTTTGTACAAAGGACTTCCATGAACACTCAATGTCCCGCCTTCAGTTTTTGCAAGTTTATAAAAGGTTACCTGACTGTTGTACGTGGGAATGTGCGTCACAATCACGAGTGCAATTCCCTGAGGTACGACAGTAACTCTTGGCTGCGCAGGTTAACAGAGACTGAGTTTGAAACCGTGCGACCGCTCCTGATATCTGGGACAGCAGCATTCGATATTAAGCACTTTCCTTACCATTCTTATGGTAAGCGTTGAATGCTCAAGTTATATTTAATATGCGGTACAAAGTGTTCTCACACGCCAACCTTCCTGGTAAGCAATCTTCCTATTTATAATGTAAACGATAGGTGATTACGCCAAATTAAAAGCTCATATATAAAAGACATGTCAGAAATTACGAGATAATTGAAGCCGTTTGGAATAGATGTAGCATACAAACCAACGAAATAACTTCAATCAATTCTATATAAAACAAAGGATAATATGATAAAAGAAGAAAAACCTAACATCACCTATAAAATAAACTGTTACGACTAAGAAAAATACAATATATTGGATAAAGTGGGCTCCCAATCCATCTTCTCCTGCCTGAAAATCGATTAGCGGTTAAAAGCCATTACATATCTTCCCTCATATCAATGCATGTGAGCAACTATGGACACGCTTTTGACTGGAAAAAATTTGTAATATTGGATAGAGGGAATACTGAAAGCATCAGGGAATTTTTAAAAGATTGGTACTCAGATGAATCAACAAATACATTGGAATTGATTCAATCTATCAACCAATCAAAAAAACATGCACAAATATAGTACTGAAGATCAAATCAAAGAGAGTTACTATTAAAATAAACTTAGGCAATGATAGGTTAAAGGTCAACAATAACCAATCAACATCGAGGTTGACAGGACAAGCTGTAAGTCAGATGTGCAGAAATTCGAACACTTCACATCTACCTGATGCTTGTGCTGATGATGTTGTTCAGAAGAGCAATGAAAGCTCATCAACCAAACCATCCAGCTCACATAACAAAACTACCTAACGCACAAACTACGGACCATTATGTGATTTCCTTTCCACTCACTGGTTACTACTCTGGACTTACTGAGTGTCACTGTTTGTGATTTTGTGGAATAAAGTATTATCTAGTGCTAATCTGCTTCGTTATTCTGGGTCATGAACCATGGATCTAATATAACGTGACTAGTCTCAATATCACCAGAGTCAGATAGAGTTATCTACTCCCCTTCTTCCTCTTTCTTTCGGTGGTCGACTGGATTATGAAGACCTTCACATCTGAGGGAGAGCACGGAATACAATGTGCAGTTCAGAACCAATTAAACGATTTAAACTTTGCAGATGACCTAGCCCTCATATTCCATACACACGAACAAATGCAGATGAAGACAACTAGTGTAGCAGCAGCCTCTGCATCAACAGGCCTCAACATACACAATGGAAAAAGCAAAATCCTCAAATATAACACAGAGAACACCAACCCAATCACACTTAATGGCAAAACTCTGCAAGATGTGGAGTCCTTCACGTATCTGGGAAGCACCATAATAATAATTCTTATGGTGATGATTTTTGTTACATTTGCCACTTAGTGTGTCTGAGTTATGTTTATTTGACTTGTGCTTGGCACTGAAACCCACCGAATCTGATGTCGCGTAGTGGAAACACAAAGAACTGCTAATATGGATTTATTTGACTCCCAAAATATGTCAAGGTGATTTGTAAATACACCACTTTTTAGATGATTTATTTACATTCATATTAACAATATCGATCTGAGCATTACTTAACGTCAACTAATCAATAACTAACTGGGTGAACACTTTTACAATATCATACAATTAAGCATATGTCATTATCATATAACTAAATCATATCATTAATCCTCGAAACGTGATTACATGTTATGGACATTTATTTACAAATAATTTCACATCGCATTCGCGCTCCAATGATTGCTCGCTATGCCAGTTATATGACTAAATAAATATTTCCACAGTAAAAATCACAAGTTGATCTACGTTATAACACCATCCCAAACAGAGGACTCGTACCCGGGTCCTTCAGTTTCGCGTGCGGATACCGTTGAGCTGGCATCCAACGGTGTTAATATCTAATTTCAATTGGTCCATGATCTTGTGCAACCCATCATCCATTGTGCGAGATCGTGGAAGCCCACCGCTGAAGAGTCCCATACTAGGAAGAAATGGTTATCTAGTGCTTCCAGATTTTCAGTAGTGGTTTAGCTTATATCGACTCATGAACTCTACTGTGAAAATACTATAATCTCCACAAATCCTGCTTACTGTGGATAAATGTTTAATAGAGAAATGTTCTTCCACCTTTAACAATAACCCAATTGATCTCTTATGCTATATTCTGTAACTAGAGGAAATAAACTTTGCTGCTCAACGATTTGTAGTAGTTACTTATCTAGCGTAGGCAGTAAAGTTACCAGTATTGTAATTCCTTGTTATTTCATGTACTAGTTGTTACACTTATAATGGATGTGAAACGTGTCATATCACCTTCCATGTATCTACTTTTCAGTGAAACGTAGTGGTTGCTTATTTAAGTCAACATTATCTAATGACTGTAAAATTGTAGTAAATTAGAAACAAGTGATTGATTGATTGATTGATTGTTGGTTATATCAGAGTGAGAAGTTTAGTGGGGATGTAGAGCTAAGAGGGGAAGATTTCATTTGTTCATAATATGCTTTAATCTAACATGATTAAACCATTAATCATTGAACTGATTTACCAGAATCATTTAAAATTTTGCAATAAACAGTAAGTATTGAATAATTAAAATAAAATGTCAACTATATTTACACTTTAGTTGAAAATCAGTTTTTTATTGTGACCTGACTTACTTTTTATATTGACATTAGCAGATTATTTTTATGAATAGAACAATGTAGCTAGTGATGGTTTTGTTTTATTCTGTTTCATGCTAAATATGTATATCAGTATTTCACACTGAATGCACTTTTTGTTTGGTACTATTTTGATAGAGTTTTGTTCTCTGCGCTAGATGGTTTGGTCGTGGAGCTTTCATCGTTCTTCTGAACGTTATCATCCACAACACAAATTTCAGATAGAAGTGAAGTGTTCGAATTTCTCCATATATATGCGTTTTGACAGCTTGTTCTGTACACATCGATGTTGATTGGTTCTTATTGACCATTCACCTCCGACTACATGAACTCATAGGATATTACTGTAATACATTTTATAATTATTTCCAGGATATAATATTCTTATTCAATTGAATTTAAAATTTAGTTTATATTAATGGATTGACTGTCATTGAACAGTTATTCGAAAAGTAGGATTTCACTTCTATCTGAAGTTTGTGCTGTGGATGATATCATTCAGAAGAACAATGAAAGATCCACGACTAAACTATCCAGCTTAGAGAACAAAACTTCATCAAAATCATCCAGCTAAGCTACAAATCTTTTCCACTTTCTCATATTACTATGAACTATTTAACTTTTGATTTTGTAATGTTGTTTTTTAGATAGTTTGTTATCGAATTCCAATCGATTTGACAGAGAAATCTTCTTCAAAAGATGAGATTTCTTACATGTTGGAAAAATCTTTTTGGATGAATGATAACAGCACAAACAGTAGTATATTGGATAATCACAATCACAATCATAATAATAATAACAAATCAAAAATATCATCTATTGAGCCAGATAATTTGATAATAGTAACAACGAATTCATCATGTTGTGATAATTTTCTTCGATGTTTCTCTCTTCCACTGAATTCTAATGGAAATAACAAAAGTTTGATAAAAGATTGGACAATTGATTTTTACTGGAATCGTACACCAGAAATGTATGAATTTGGTGAAGAAGGTTGGAGTAGTGTTGGTTCACCTGTTGGTGCATTATCAGGTGTTTATGATCTGGTTGATGTAAAACTAAAGTATCGTTTTGATAGAAATTCCGGATTTGACTTTTTAATAAATGGAAATGGTATGTTCAGAGGTTACTTCATTTTATTCAACTATACTATTCCTTGTAATGAAGAGGTTTACGTTTTGTTTTGCTTAAACTTACCTTAAGAAAACAGTCGTCAAATAAATGCCTTTTAGTTGTGAGTGGTTGTTAGATATTGGAAGAGTCTTGAGGCTTGAATTCCTTCTTCTTGGTCTTCATTAGCAAGTCATACCAACCATCCTTTGCTCCCTTAGTGGATACAAGCCTACATCAAATAGTAGCGCAGTAACAAATGCCATGATCAATCTGCTTGAAACATGTTACAACTCCGGTAAAACTAAAATATCTACTTTCATCGGTTGTTGATCGGCAACCGATCTAGTGATATCTGTTAGATGCATCTGATTTGTTGGAAGACAGCCAATTTCTTCAAACCAGATCCTTGAAATTCTGTAATGCTGAGATCTAAGGTAGTGACTATTTTCAATGTGATGAAAATACCATAATACACATATATTTTGAGCTTGATAAAGAAGATGGCAGTTTTCATTTGTTAGTTATGTACAAATCGTTTTATCCACAAGTCATTCATAGTATGTATGTTTGAATACTACGTTTTCATAATCAATATTGGGGGGCAATAAATATTGACTAATTGTTGATAGTATTCATCTACATTCTCTTATAATTTACAAAAGAAAACATGAAATATACATGTAATGGTTAGTAAAGTTTATTTATATGAATATTCAGTATAAAAATCGAAGCACCATGTGTGATGCAGTCAAAATATCTATCTTATTTTGATTGAGATCATGAACCGATTGATGTTAGACCACCATTGAAAACCTGGAAAGACTGGACGGACAATTCGTACTTTTGTGCAACTCCTCAGCAGTGCGCATCCACGATCTCGCCCCCTGAGAGATTCGAACTGAGGATCTACTGTTTTCGCGCGCGAGCACTTAACCACTAGACCACTGAGCAGGCTGGCATCCATTGGTGTTAATGTCTAACTTCAACTAATCCACGAAATTGAACCACACATCCACCATTGTCTTCAGTGAGTTACTATCTCACAACAGACCTGGTTGAACTCCACTGGTCACTACTTCTCACTAGAACTCCAGGATATACCTCTTGAAGCCAGTCACTAGTGAGCATATATTGATTAATATCAGAAGGGGTTTTGTGGAGATCGTAGTAATTTCAATGGTTAAGATCATTAGTCAATTGAAGCTAGATCACCATGAAAAACCTGGTTTCGAATCTCGCAGGGGGCGAAGTCGTGGATGCGCACTGCTGAGAAGTCCCACAATAGGATGAAACGGCCGTCCAGTGCTTCTAGGTTTTCCATGGTAGTGATCTAGCTTCAACTGACTCATGATCTTAACCACTGAAATAAAAGTAAATGTTTAAAATTAAAAATCATAATTAAATTAAATCAAGGAAATGTGAAATAGGGTAATGGAAACTTGAAGTTTTCTTTCTTACCATGCACGTCAGGCTTTTATCTTTCGATCATTAGGAGCTCTGACAAAATGCATTGAATATATGTTCTTTTGTACATTGGTTACTACAAACGGTTTAACAATGTCAACAATATATATTCAGTAGTTACTAGCGAAAATTGCAATAGTTTCTTTACTTATGTCGTTAGGAGTTTTGATCTCCTAGATATTGATTTACTCGTATGAAATGAAACATGGTATTCCAAATTAGGATGAAGTTTCAATCATTTAACTTTTCTTGGTTAAAGTTTATCCGCTGAGACTCGAATAAAAACATCAGTTTTGAAACGACAGTAACCTCCTATAGAACATTTAAATGACAAAACATTTGTTAGGACTTTCAAAATTTTTTCTAAAAAGTGATGTTTTTAACAACTCACAAATGTACGTAAATTTTGATAGATACTCCTTCAACTGAATAGGCAACGAATTCTTACATTTCAAAGATTTGGATTTATTCCAAACTAATTGTGTCTTCCACTTTTTCAGATTCAGATTCAGATTTGTAAAGTAAGGACAGAAGGCCTATGGCCTATGTTATTCCTTTTCTAATATGCTTCTGTGAGTGTCCAGACTTCTCTTGAACGAGTCAATTGAGGGTGCGGACACCACTACTTCGGGCAGCAGGTTCCAAGTATTGATGACTCGGTGTGAGAACCTGTATGCCACGGGTATTTTGTTCGTTCTTGGCTTTTCTACTCGCCTTCTATGTCCTCTGAGATGTCTCGATCTAGTGGGAAGAAAAAGAGAGAGTAAGTTAGGTCCAAAATCGTTTCTCAGTATTCTGTACATCAAAATTAAATCTCCCCTTAATCTGTGATAGGACAGTGTGAAGAGATCTAGCTTTTCAAGCCGCTCTTTGTATGATAAACCCCGGAGTTCTGGAATTGCACGGGTAGCTGCCCTCTGTACTTTTTCTAGGATATCCGAGTCACCTTTTAAACATGGGCTTGCAGCCTGAACGCAGTTCTCAAGTTTAGTTCTCACTAAAGACGTGTATACTTTTTTGAACATGATAGTATCTAGCTTTGTGAATGTCCGTTTTAAAGCCCAGAGGGTTTGAAACCCCTTAGCTGCGACCTGCCGGCAATGGGTCGTCGTCTTAAGATCCTGATTGACTGTCATCCCCAGATCCTTATGAGACCGAACCACTGGTAATTGCACTTCCCCTATGTTATATCTATTAACATTTGAGTCCCCGAAGTGCATGTAGACACACTTTGCCGCGTTGATAGGCATCAGCCACTCTTTAGACCAGTTAATTATATTATTTAGGTCTGCTTGAAAAGCATCTGAGTCTGTGTCTCCAGTTATTACTCGCCAGATCTTTACATCGTCAGCGTATAATAACATTGGAGACTGTACTTTACTTGGAAGATCATTTACATACAGTATAAAAAGTAAAGGACCTAGGACGGAACCTTGAGGTACTCCACTAAGTACTGGTCTCCATATGGAGCACTTGGAATTTATTCTTACCTTCTGTCTACGACCTACTAGGAAATCCTTAATCCATTTTAAAACGGGTCTAGCAATACCAAGGTTTTCCTAATTCAATAAGAGTCTATTTGTTGGCACCTTGTCCAAATCCTTAATGAAGTCTATGTAGACAACATTCACTGAGTTTCGGTTGTCTAGCGCCTTTATCCAGAATTCCCTTGCTAAAAGGAGGTTTGTTGTACAGGATAGACCCTTTCTAAAACCATGTTTGTTCTATGTTTAACAAGTTATTTGTTTCAATAAATGCCATTATTGTCCTTTTGACTATTCTTTCCAATATTTTAACTACAAAACTGGTGAGGCTTACAGGTCTGTTGTTCGATGGAACTTGTCTTGGTCCTATTTTATGTATGGGAGTGACGATTGCGTCCTTCCAGTCCATAGGTAAAACACCTTGATTAAGTGACATATTGAATATCACAGTCAGTGGGGCCGCGATATATTGTGCAATATTTCTCAATATTTTAGGGTGTAGTTCATCTGGTCCTGTTGACTTTTCCATGTTTAAGGTGCTAAGAACCTTAAGCACATCGTCTTGGTCAAAGTCCACGGTGAGCAGGTGGTTTATTGACTCTTTATTTTGATCTGGTTCTTTGTCCAAAGCAAGTTCCTGAGTGAAAACTGCCCCGAAATAGTCAGCCGTAGCCTCTGCTTTGTCCTGATCTTCCTCTATCATTTCAGATTCACTCCCTTCTTTAATTAGATTTGGAATCCAATGATGCATCCTTGTTCTGTAGTTTATGTACGAGAATATTCTCTTGGGCTGCTTGAATGCTGATTGTGCCAACTGCGTTTCATATTTTCTTTGAGCTTCTCGAATTTTTGTTATACACTTGTTTCTTACCGATCTGTAGTGTTCCATCGTACCTGCTGTGCCAAGGCGGATGGCGACATCCCAACATTTCTTCTTTTGTCTTATTAAACGTCGAATATCCCTGCCTATCCAGGGATGTCCGTGTTTCTTCTTCATTGGGACTGTCCATGGTATGTATGGTTGTGTTACCCGGTTGTATAACTACCTGAAATGCATCCATGCCTCTTATATTGATGCTCTTGAGTCAATTTCCCAGTTTTCAGCCGATGCTGCGGAGTTGATGGCCTTCATATCTGCCTTCCATATGTTAGGACGCCCCGGCGCAACTGTTTGACAGGCAATCTCAGCCACGAAATTGAATAAGATGACTGCATGGTCACTTTTCCCTAGCGGTGGGAGGAAAGTCATTTGACCAACGTCATCCCCGTGTGTGAAGACTAAATCTAAAAGAGAGGACTTTCTTAAGGCATATCTTGTGGGAGTTCTAATATGTTGGAACAAAGCTAATGCAATCGATGTTTCTAACAGTTTGAAATCGAATGACGTTATCGATGACCCGACTTCTAAGTTTATATACGGTGCGTTAAAGTCGCCTACTACAAGGCTTTTACCCTTATTACACCAGGACTTAAGTTTACTTAGGAGAAATTCATCTACCACGCATTCTGGACTGCAATATACCACAACTAATTCAATGTCTTGCCGTCTACGTTTCAGCCTACATCGCACGAAGCACAGCTGACAGATGCATTCCAATTAAGGACCGGAGTCAGACAAGGCTGTTTACTCTCTCCCTTCCTCTTTCTTCTGGTGGTCGACTGGATTATGAAGACCTCGACATGTGAGGGAGAACACGGCATACAATGGACAGCTCAGAACCAATTAGACGATTTAGACTTCGCAGATGACCTAGCCCTCCTATCCAATACACACGAACAAATGCAAACAAAGACAGCCAACATAGCAGCAGTCTCTGCATCAGTAGGCCTCAAAATACACAAAGGGAAAACCAACGGATATACGTTACACAAATCATCAAACTGCACCACGAGACAAGCACTAATTTGGAGTCCTGAAGGGAAGCGGGTAAGAGGAAGGCCACAATACACATTAAGTCGGGAAATAGAATCGTATATGAAAAGGATGAATAAGAACTGGAAAGAGCTGGAAAGGATTGTTGAGGACAGGGTTGGATGGAGAATGCTTGTGAGCGGTCTATGCTCCTTCACGAGGAGTGACAGGCGTAATTAAGTAAGTAATTAAGTAAATTAATGTTCATTTTGTGTGTCTAGTTTAAAATATCTTGGATACCTAGTTGATGGTAATGGCTTTAAACCAGATATGAAACGACTAGCTCCACTGACAAATGCACCGTCCTGGGAGAATAAACTACTCTCTGCTGATTAAAAACCACAGTTTCCTACTAAAACGTTTGGAAACCAATGTCAAAAAAAGTCAGTGATAAGTATATAATTTCATTTAAATCATAAATTTGGATGCTGACTCACTGGTCTAGCTGTCAAGTGTTCATGTATTAAACTGAAGGTCCTGGGTTCGATTCTCAAGGTTGAGATGGTGAATACACACTATTGCAAAGTCCCATAATACGACAAAATGTTCGTCTACTGCTTCCAGGTTTTAAATAGTGGATCTAAGTTAGATTGATTGATGATTTAAATGAAATTCGACAATCTCTACAGCCCCTTACTAACTGGTATTAAATTGTTTCTGTGATAGGTAGTATATGAAGATTTGATGCTTTATAAAGATGATTCTCGTCACGTTCTGAAATTATGCTTGATAATGACCTCAGTAATCTTTGGTCTCACATCCAGGCTAAACTTCTCACTATTCAAAATTTATAACTCTGACATAACCTATAATCAATCACTTGTTTCTAATTTTCTACAACTTTACAGTCATTAGATAGTATCGACTTAAATAAATAACCTCTACGTTTCACTCAAAAGTAGATACATAGAAATCGATATGACATTTTTCACATCCATTATAAGTGTAGCAACTAGTACGTGATTTTTGATGTGATGTTTCCGTTGAAGTGAAGTTGAGTGATGAATTTGAAAAATTGGATGAGAGTTAAACTTGTTGAATGGTTTTTTATCACTTGGTGGTCAAAGCTTGACGTCGTACAATGTTTTGGTTAGGCACGTTCGATTATTTATGTAGTTGATATTTTATATGTTAGAAACGAAACGATTTGGTTTCTAGATGGCTAAGGCTGTGTAGACTCAATATATCATTAGATAAGTCGATATTTGAAGCGAAAGGCACCGAATTCAAGTCGCGGTGTTGACTTACTTACTTATTATTATTTATGTATTTTAACACATAGATATTGGTATAAGGAGACACCAAATACATATGCACCACACAGATCTCATTGTATATGTGTGAGGGCTGTGATAGTACCCGGGTGCCCAAACCGAAGCAGGCGGTTTTCTCAGTGGGCCACACCCCGAGCCTTCGACTTGAACATCTGATCTATAAGGCAGTGGAGCACCGTAAGGAGATGCAGTCCCATGGTAGCCGGTGACCGACGATTGGTTCATACGCCATTTAATCTTTCAGGATACTGGAGCTAGCCCATATGCAGCATTGTTTTTGGATGCGGTTAAAGCGCAGGACATTCGCTTTTCGTCATCTCATTTTCGTAAACAACACTCTTGTTGCGAGAAGGCAGTGATTAGGACTTCCCTGACAGAGGCTATATACGCGTGGCCATGTGAGAGCATTTGGAGAGGGAGAGCGGACTCTCTCTACTCTCGGCCGTACCAGGGTACTTGGAGGTGATTTACTTACTTACGTCTGTTACTCTCAATGGAGAATAGACCGCCGACCAGCGTTCTCCAACCCACTCTGTCCTGAGCCTTCTTTTTTAGTTCTATTCAATTTTTGTTCATTTTCTCATTTCTTTCTCCATTTCTTGACGTAATGTGTTCTGTAGTCTTCCTCCTTCCCTTTGGTCTTGAGGATTTCATCTGAGGGCTTGCCTTGCGATGCAGTTGGGTGCTTTCTTCGGTGTGGGTCCTATCCACTTCCAGCGCTTCTTCCTAATTTCTTCCTTCACTGAAATCTGGTTTGTTCTCTCCCAAAGTAGGTTGCTGCTGATAGTGTCTGACCAACGGATCCGAAGTATTTTACGTAGACAACTGTTAATAAACACTTGTATCTTCTAGATGATGGCTTTCATAGTTCTCCAGGTTTCCGCTCCATACAGTAGAAATGTCTTGACATTTGTATTGGAAATTCTGACTTTGATGTTGGCTTGGAGACAGTTGTTTTGAGTTCCAGATGTTTTACAGTTGTAAATATGCTGCTCTTGCTTTTCCGATCCGTACCTTCACATCTGCATCAGATCCACCGTGTTCATCAATGATGCTGCCAAGATATGTATTGGTTTTTACATCTTTCAAATCTTCTCCATCAAGCATGATTGGATTGTTGCATGCTGTGTTGTATTGAAGAATCAATTCTTTTCCCTTTGTGTATGTTGAGACCTACTGTTGGTGTGGCTGCTGCTACACTGGTCATCTTCTTCTGCTTAAATATGAGATATATCTAGATGACGTTCCCCAAAATAAAACGAAATGCTTGTCGTTCATTCTACTACTACTAGCTAATATTTATCTGTAACAATTTTTCTTTCTATTAGATTGACAACAATTCTAATGTGAAATCTTTATTCCAGTACACATCACAGAACTAAAACATTTTATGTCAATAATCTTGAACTTTGAAATAATAATGTTCATATCATTAATAACCCTGTCTATCATTTACTTATGTACAGTTTATAAGAGATCTATTGAATGTTTACAAATCCGTAAGTAGAACAAAAACATACTCACAACAGAAAAATGTATCAAACCAATAGTACCAATGACATTCCTCAACAAAAATGAATATTGAATTCTGTTACTTTCTTGTTAAATATATAAAAAGGACATTATTATGAATATAAAGATGAATTCCAATTATATTGAATATGCTATGAATATGACCAGCAGAGTAATGAGTTAAAAATCAATATTTTGTTGTATATGTGGAAGTATTTTACACTAGAATTGTTGCCAATCGACTAGAAAAAAAAATTGCTACAGATAAATATAAGCTAGTAGTAGTAGAATGAACGACAAGCATCTTGTTTTATTTAAAGCATGTCATCTGGACATATCTCATATTTAAGCAGAAGAAGATGACCAGTGTAGCAGCAGCCTCACCAACAGTAGGTCTCAACATACACAAAGGGAAAAGAATTGATTCTCCAATACAACACAGCATGCAACAATCCAATCATGCTTGATGGAGAAGATTTAAAAGATGTAAAAACCAATACATATCTTGGCAGCATCATTGATGAACACGGTGGATCTGATGCAGATGTGAAGGTACGGATCGGAAAAGCAAGAGCAGCATATTTACAACTGTAAAACATCTGGAACGTGACGAGAATCATCTTTATAAAGCATCAAATCTTCATATACTACCTATCACAGAAACAATTTAATACCAGTTAGTAAGGGGCTGTAGAGATTGTCGAATTTCATTTAAATCATCAATCAATCTAACTTAAATCCACTATTTAAAACCTGGAAGCAGTAGACGAACATTTTGTCGTATTATGGGACTTTGCAATCGGTGTCTGTTTTAATGAACACTGAACCGTTGAGTAAACACTTCTTTATAAATAACTTCGTTAGCTGACTATGAAGTTGTTAATCCATGATTATTGTATGACAGTGGCAAAAACTAGGCATCAGTAAAGTACAATATGCTGACTACACTTATTAGTGACATGGGTGTGGTTTTTTGCAGATATATATAAAGCAGTAGGAAACGTTGTATAGAACTATTATAAGCTAAATTCCATGTATTTGAAAGACGATTGGAATTTACTTCATTTGAGAGACTAAAATCGGGAAAGTACAACGTTATTTACTGTCAGATAAGCAAACCTATAAAACCATAAGGGGATTGTTGTATCTTTAAGCCCAGTTGATTATCACATGATTTATTCGCCAATCAAAATACGACTTATACAATCCTAGTACTGTGCCAAACCAATGATGTTCAGCTGGTATGAGCAACACAGCGTCCTTATGGATCCTTTGTACTCCCAGCACTTCTAGTTGAGTCTAGAACGCTAATAACAGTTTCCATTATGGGAATCATTTATTTTAAACATACTTGGTTTATATACCAGCCAAATAGATCACATAATATTATAAAATAGGAAATAACATTGATACAAGATCTAACCAAAAAGTGAATGTGAACGTGGGATACTCTAGTTAATAAAGTGAGCATAACTTAAGAATAGTGAGTCGTAAAATAATATTAATCTATTGGTCAAAATGGAGCTTATAATATGATGAATATATATATAATAAGACTATATATATAATAATAGTCCATTAATAGTTCTCAGAAGTTATGTGTAATTTGATTCTCACTAGGATATAGTAGGAATACTAAGCAAAGACTGAGAGTGGCTAACAATGGAATCTTGGACGCGAGTTTTGTCCTATTCATCACTCGTCAGCTGGATGTACCTGCATACCAGAGTTGCTGTTCACTCCGGAATTCGGACCCAGTGCCATTCACTTCGCAAGCCATCACTTATCCACTTAGCTACTGGGCACACATATATATGTATATAAGAAGAGTTCAAAAATATTTTAATATAACTTCTTTTTTTTTTAATTTTTTTTTCTAGATACTAAAGAATTTATTGTACATAGTTTAGCTGAAAAGCGTTTACAAGCTAGAGTTGGTGATTATTATGAATGTGTTTCAGAGACACAATTGATTTTTGATACAGAAAATAGTACAGTAGTTAATTCGAATAATAATTATATAAAATTATATAATGATCAATGGAATATTATAATGAGTTTACAAAGTGTACGTTCTCAAGCATTTGCTGATGTCAATGTACCAGAATTTACTGGAGCAAGTAAGTATACTTTCTTAGTTACATTCTGTATATGTAAATATAACTGACAATACCTTCTGTTGTCAGTATGAATTACAGTCAAAATAGTATGATTTCATTACATTAATACAATTTAGCAGCAAAGCGTTGTACGATTCATCCCAGGTTAATACTGAGATTAGATGTATTTCAAAAACAGATGCAAACAGCAAAGAAACATTTCAATTAACTATATAGATATATATACATTGGTGCTGTCCAAAGAAGCACTATAAGCACCTGTAGAATGAGAATATCATGAATCTGCAATCGTCAAATCATTCATCAAAACAAAGAAGTAGGGAATCACAATGCATGTTATCCAATGCTATACACCCACCGATAATACCAGTGACGACCATAAACATCAGTTTTATGAGAGGCTGCAGTCGATCACAGAGAATTGTCCAGAAGAGGATATGACCATTCTCATAGAATACCTGAATATCGAGTCGAAATGAACATCACCGGATGTGAAGATATGATGGGACGAAATGGACTGACTGAGAGAAAGGAACGACAATTGCGAGAGATTTGCAAATTTATATGCATCCAACAAAATGATTGTAGGTGGAATTATATTCCCACACAAACACATACACAAGGCTACATGGGTCTGATCCGACCACATCACGGAGAACTAGATTGACCATATTTGTATTACTAGTAAATTCAGAAGGTCGATATAAGCCGTGAGAATCAAGAGAGGAACTGATATAGCTTCATGTGGCCACCTAGTGGTTGCCAAGATGAAACTGGAGCATAAGAAGCACTGAACAACTGAACAAACAGCATTACAAAGTTTCAATACCGCCTTCCTACGAGATACTGACAAACCACGAAAAAAGCAAGATCCCCAAATACAACACAAGACACCGACTGAATCGCACTTGATGGAGATGTTCTGGAGGAGGTGTAAACTGGACTGTTTATCCAATCAACCACATTGGACCTTATTTGTTTTCTATACAATCTACAAGCACACAAAATGTCAACCCTAGCACTTTATATTTATTTTACCCACCTTCTGCCGCACAAATTAATGCAGTGACTTTGGCATTAATACCTATAAACAAGAATACCAATCCATTTAAAGACATTCTTTCCCATATCTCATTTGTTTTCCTATTGAGTTGAATATTTTGACTTTAATAATTTTTTTAAGACACATTGAAATTTTCAGGTGCCAGAAGCGTCATAGATCTAATCGTTTTGCAACCCTTCCAGCGGTTTATGAACTTCAAGGAATAACCATTATTCACTAACGTATCAGTCAAGAGCTTCGTCTCGACTTCAATAGTATCACTAGTACAAACACTATTGATTCTATTAAATAAGCTCTTTATTAAACCACGTTTGTAATGAATAGGGCAGTGACTATGAAAATTAAGATATTGCCCTCTGTCCATGTTGGCTTTCTGTATATAGCACGTTGGATAGAACCATTATCTCTCCTACTGATGAAGATGTTTAGAAATAGGAAATTTTTTGTTCTTCTCTTCTTCACATGTAAGAGAAATGTAGTTTTAACTTCTATTGAAATGTCACTAAACAATTTTTTGTTATTGTGCTTATTATTATTATTTTCAATTATTATTATTATCTTTCTAGGTGTTGTATGTGCTGGTGATAATTCACATGATATGAGTCTATCTATTGCAATTGGTTTATCATTATGTAGTTTAGTGATTTGTGTATTATTCGGTTTAGCAATTAATCATTTCAGACAAAAAGATGAAGTCTTTAAAGCTGTGGATACAACAGGAGATGATCAGAAATCATGATTATGAATACTTTTGTCAAATTTCATACATTTAGTATTGTCATCACATTCATGACTTAAATTACTCATGTTTTGAATTTATCATTATTCATTATTATATTAGTCACTTGAACCAGATCAGTAAAAGTTTTGTAAGTTGAAGACAGCTGATAGTCTATGCATTTTTTCTCTTTTTTTACATTTAATTATTTCTATTCTAATTTTAGAATAAATACTACTTATAGAATTCCTACCGTGCATGTTTGTCTTCAAGAATCTATCAACCGTTGTAACTAGGCAGGATACTTTCGTATACAGGGCTATCATGTAAGTAATGCTGAGGTTAGACATGAGGTCATACTTAAAGTTGATAAATCAGTCAACGAGACCATAAACATCTATCGTCTGAGAAGTCCTGAACATGTACTTGTAGTGACCTACTTTTGTCAACAGAACGCGATTGGTTTGATGAAAACAATTATTATTATAACCAATTTTACCAGTGACTGTTTTACTGTGCTCGTTTGTTTAACTGTGCTAATGACAGCCATTATACTTACTCTCCCGTTGACTTCGAACTTGTACGAATCCGGTTACGCTCAGTAACCACGCTTGTACTCCTTTGGCACGATCTCGGTATTCTTTCGATACCACGAGATCGCCAACAAATACATCTCGACTACAGCCATTATCTGTCTTCTGATGTTGACCTACGGGGATCTTATTGGTTAATTGGCACGTAGTCTTGTAGCGGTGTTCATAGTCAAGCTGAACTCGACACCACGCTACATTTGGTGAGCCAAATACTGGAACACGCCTCAACCTCGGTCAAATCTTTCAAAGAAGGCAATTCGGTGAGTCTATAGTTTTATCTATCCACGTCTGTCATATATTTTCATATTAATTTTTAATATATATATTTGACATGACGGATAACGATAAGAATAGTATTAATATAATAGACTCCGATGTACGCGTACCGAATCCTCGGAACTTTTTATTCGCGTGACGTTAAATTTCACGCCTTATTCGAGAAATTCCCCAGAATAACTAAACCACTCGAGGAGATTTCATCGGTGACCAATCGTGTGGTACACCACATAGTCACCCGCGGACCACCAGTCACGGCAAGACCACGCCGACTGGCACCGGACAAATTAGCTTTCGCTAAACGTGAGTTTGACAATTTACTATCTGCTGGTATTATTCGTCCTGCTCACAGTCCTTGGGCCTCTCCTTTACACATGGTGCGCAAAAAGGATGGGGTTAGTTGGAGACCTTGCGGCGACTACCGAGCATTAGACGTAGTTACGCGCTTTGATAGCTACCCCATCCCCCACATACACGACATCACGGCATCGCTCAAGGGCACGACTATCTTTTCTAAAATCGATCTGGTACGAGCATATCACCAGATCCCAGTCGCTCTTGAAGACATCGAGAAAACTGCTATCACGACTCCGTTCGGTCTGTTTGAGTTCCTACGAATGCCATTTAGATTACGGAATGCTGCTCAAACTTTCCAAAGGTTTATCGATAGCATAGTACGAGACTTGGATTTTGTTCACGTCTATATTGATGACCTGCTGATCGCATCATCAAATGTAGATGAACATTATCAACACCTTACGCTATTATTCCAACGTCTTTCGGATAATGGAATACTAGTCAACCCAGAAAAATGTGAGTTGGGTAAATCAGAAATAATATTTCTGGGTCACATCATCAAACAAGAGGGTATTCTGCCTTGCGAGGACAAAATTCGAGCAATCAAGGAGTACAACGTGCCGTCCTCGATCAAGGAACTGAAGGCTTTTCTCGGTTTGGTTAACTTCTACCGACGTTTTATCCCTCACGCGGCAGAACGGTTACGACCATTAACCGATTTACTACGCGGTAATCCACGCAAATTAGAATTGAACGATACCGCACGTACTGCATTCTCAGAGATCAAAACGGCTCTCGCTCAAGTTACACTCCTCGCTCATCCTGACCCATCAGCCACGCTTAGTATAGCGGTTGATGCATCAGATTTCGCTATAGGAGCCGTCATGCAACAGAATATCTCCGGTAGTTGGCAACCCCTCGAATTTTTCTCACGACGCCTTACTCCCACGGAGACGAGATATAGCGCTTTTGGTCGCGAGCTGCTTGCAGCCTACTGCGCCATCAAACATTTCCGGCACACAGTAGAAGGACGTCAATTCATCTTATTCACCGACCATAAGCCCTTAACGTATGCCCTGCATACCAAGTCTGACCGCTACTCACCACGAGAGTGCAGACATTTGGACTATATCTCACAGTTAACGACAGACCTTCGTCACATTAAAGGCGAGTCGAACTATGTTACCGATGCTCTTTCACGTATCCAGACGAATGCAGTTACCTTACCAGTGCTCGATCTTCCTGCTATGGCCACCGCGCAAGCAAACGATCCTGTCTGTACAGAAGCACCACAATCTTCGTCCCTTCAGTGTCAGGAAGTACCCCTAGCTACTAGCTCAGGTACTATCCTATGTGATATTTCTACCGGTCTTCCTCGACCCATCGTACCCTCTACCTATCGCCGTCTCGTCTTCGATACCCTTCATGGATTGTCTCATTCAGGTATCGCAGCCACATTACGCCTCATCGCTGCACGATACGTCTGGCCGTCCATGAATAAAGATGTTCGTATGTGGGTTAAGCAATGCTTACAGTGTCAACGATCAAAAGTGCACAGGCACGTAGCTGCCCCCATTGGCACGTTCGCTACGCCTGATGCTCGCTTTGATCACGTTCATATAGACATTGTAGGACCATTGCCACCATCGCATGGGTATGATCACATACTCACGTGCATCGACCGTTTTACAAGATGGCCCTAAGCTATTCCCATCACGTCTATCACGGCGTAGACAATTGCTCACCGCTTCGTAGAACGATGGATAGCATTGTACGGTTGTCCCTCGACAGTCACGACTGACCGAGGACAACAATTTGAGTCCGCATTATTCTCCTCACTGACCCGGCTGCTTGGTACGGAACGCATGCGCACTACCGCCTACCATCCAGCATCGAATGGTTTAGTCGAAAGGTTTCATCGCCAACTTAAAAGTGCTCTCCGAGCACACGAAAACGAAAATTGGTACGGAACCTTACCGCTCGTTCTCTTAGGCATCAGAACGAGTTTGAAGGCAGATATCCAATGTTCCGCCGCTGAACTTGTATACGGCACGACATTGCGTCTGCCTGGGGAATTCTTCACACCACGGAGCAGTAATGATTTCGGTAAATCAGACTACGTCCATCGACTGTCTGCATTTATGCGAACGCTGTCTCCGGTGTCAACTCAAATACAACATCGACAGGTCGCTCTCCCTCGAGAGTTATCTACCTGTTCACATGTTTTCATATGAGTAGATTCGGTACGCAAACCTCTACAACAGCCTTACGAAGGCCCTTTTCACGTGATCTCTCGTCACGAAAAGACCTTCAAGGTTGATCGACACGGCCGCGTCGAGATCGTCAGCACTGATCGTCTCAAACCAGCACACGTCGATGACAGTGCCCTACCCGATAACTTGAGACTCAATGCTAGACCTATCAAACCTACTAGCGGGATCTCTACATCTACCTCGGATCCCACGCTAGATACATCAGAGACCTCGTTCTCACGTCCCGGTCAACAGCACGCGTCATCTGCACCATCTACGGACGGGACTTCCGTCTCACGTCCAGATCGGCAGACCACGCCGCCCTTGACCTCGGATGAGATCGCAGGTTCACGAAGTACGAACGAGACTACCGTCTCACGTTCCGGTCGCCGAGTACGATTACCCGTACGCTTTCGCGACTAAACGCACAGTCAATAACGGATACGGTGTAGGATTATTCCTATACTACACGCATGCCACACTTTTCTTTTTTTGATTTCTTTTCTGTATCCTGAGCCCACGCCTCCGACCATCGCCCGTTTGATAACGTCGACTTCAGTCAAATTTGGCAAAAGCTGGTTTGGCCACCCATGCTCTAGTCAACGCACTCAGTCGATTATCTGGTCTCGAATTCGCCTGGCATACACTTGGTCGTTATGGTCGCGTCCGGTTTCTTGGCTCAACGTGGTTTCGTCCTACGTCTGCAGCGTTTTCTGGTCCGCATCCATACGAACGCAATCATCAGATCCTGGATACAAACCACTCTGGTGTGGTATGCTAACTCGACCAACAAATACAGCACACTTCTCCTGGTACCGTTCTGCGCAAAAGACTTTCATTGGCAACTCGAGGATCAACGATCACTTCCTGTTCCGCCAATTTCCTCCGTCCTACAACCGCAATTCTGCCGATCAGTCCCACGAATCAAACCGCTAACTATCGAAAGTGTAAACCCTTTCTAGCGGGGGCTCCTGTAGTGACCTACTTTTGTCAACAGAACGCGATTGGTTTGATGAAAACAATTATTATTATAACCAATTTTACCAGTGACTGTTTTACTGTGCTCGTTTGTTTAACTGTGCTAATGACAGCCATTATACTTACTCTCCCGTTGACTTCGAACTTGTACGAATCCGGTTACGCTCAGTAACCACGCTTGTACTCCTTTGGCACGATCTCGGTATTCTTTCGATACCACGAGATCGCCAACAAATACATCTCGACTACAGCCATTATCTGTCTTCTGATGTTGACCTACGGGGATCTTATTGGTTAATTGGCACGTAGTCTTGTAGCGGTGTTCATAGTCAAGCTGAACTCGACACCACGCTACATACTTTTCACTTGAGGTCGTTTATGATGTTTTTTAAGACGGTACCTTTACGGATGGTGATGAGGTATATAATTGAGTAATTAAGTAAGTAGTTAGTAAGAATGTTAGTTAGTAAGTAAGTACGTAAGAAATCATGTGTGTAAGTGAGTAAGCAAGTAAGTAAGTAAATGAGTATGTATGTATGTACGTAAGTTATTATGTAAGTAAATATGTAAATGATTAAGTACGTAATTATGTAGGTAATCATTTTACTATGTAAGTAAGTAATCAAGTCAGTAAGTAAATAAATATGTAGGTAAGTATCCTAGTAAAGTAAGTAAGTAAGTAAGTAAGCAAGTACGTAAGTAAGTAATTATTTAGGTAGGTAGGTAAGTAAGTGATTAAGTATGTAAGAAATTAAGTAATTTAATAAGTAATCATATAAATGAGTAAATAAGTAAATAAGTGAGTAGTTAAGTAAATACCAAATATCTAATTAGGAAAGTAATTAAGTGA